ATTTACCCATAGCTGGGAGGAGAAGAAGATTCATACCTTTCCCAAGGGTATTAGCACGTAAGTGAATGTAATGGATTCGACTGGAATTCAAACTTGGTTCTCCAATTCCTCAATCCAAGCCGCTATCCATTTCTCCACTGTGCCTCCTCATGGATATTAACTATTTGTTATTGATGAATTGTATTTCTGGTGATGCCTTCTGTTGTATTTCTGATGCAAAATCTTTATTAAAAAATTTTTGCTTGAAAATGTTGAATTATATTTCATTTTTTATTTATAGGAAAAAATATATGATCAGAATATGAATCATGATGTATAAAAAAAAAATATTCTGAAGTAGGTAATTTAATATTTAGAATATGAAATTTGATCCCAAAGATTTATTTTAGGGGTGCCACCTGCATCATCTCAAATCCTAATCTTGTGTATTTTAATTTTCTCAGTTCCAACTTTTGTAGAGCAGCAGTAATCAAATTAAACTAGTGAGTTTAATCTTCATTGGTACACACCTATTTTGGTCTTGGGCCAGACTAAGCTAAAATGCATAGATATCTATAGGAATGTCAGTCATTGGTGGTGAGTAAGCTCATGTTCCTCACTGGGTGCCTTCTATTGTCTTGTGAGAGGTAATTCTAATTTTTTTATAAATATCTATATTATTTTATTATTATCCTCAGGTAGTTTTAGCAAGTTCTTGAGTTTGAGCTTTATTTCATATTTAAAATATAACCCTCATGAGAGAAATTATTCTCATTATTTTCCATAACTTGAGGGGTGGGGTAACATTAAGTTGAAGGGGATAATCACAGTTGTAATTGCTTTCTTTGTGGAGAGATATCTTAAAGTGATGTTACATGCATACTTTTATTATTTTTAGTTTGAATATTATGGTGACAGTATATTTGTAGTTTTTTTATATATATATATATATATATATATATATATATATATATATATATAACACTGAAGTCAACAAACTGTTTCATGTTAGATGCAATTGTCAGGTGGCCTGACAATTGTGTGTGGCATGAAACAGCCTGTCACCTCTGAGTGTTGACTTCAATGTTCACTTTTATATTTACATATGCTGTATCTCTGATATTGAGCACTTTATCCCATAAATATAACACACCTTAAAATTATATTTCTTATATATATATATATATATATATATATAAAAATTATTTCAATATTTGAGAAAGGTGAAATTTTACTTTAAAGCCAACTTGTCTTCCATTTGATCCTCACTTCAAGCTTAAATCATCCTTAATTTTTTAACCAATCAGGACATTGTTATCCTTATAAATAGGTACCTCTACTTTTTTGCTAAAATAAAGCATACCATGATAAAAAATGCCCTAAACTTGATAAAAACAAAGTTTTATCATCAAAATGTTTGGCATTATTAATTTTTAAAATTACTGAGTACTTAAAAAATTATATAAAAAGGGATGTCATCTTCTTAAAATATGTTTTACAGATAAAGTCTCCATAGAACAACAATAAATCTGTCATCACACATGTAAATATGGCTATTGCCACTTAAAAACACTGCTACTGTTTGCTTAAAAACTTCATTGCTCTGATATTTTAAACTAAATATGTAACTAAATATTCAACTAATATTCCTCAAATAAAGTTTCAGAAAAGTATATTTTTTGAAATTTTTTTAATAAAGAGAATTATGTTGCGATGAAAGACAACTGAAAAAGGATACTTATCAGCTATTTTATCAAAAAGAATTAATTTTTGTTTGAAATACACCACAGTATTTTGATTACTGGAAATAGTAAATTTAATCCTTTAGTTTTAAATTAAAGCTAAAATAAAAGCTTCAAGAAAACTTTATCATTTTTTAAAATTAATTTAAATCTTAGGTATCACGATTTTATGGAGGTACCTACTTATAAGCTTGTTATACTTATAAGCTTCATGACTTTAAAAAAAAATGCATATTGTAAAACTTTTTGTAGAAGGATGGTTGTGGTGTAATCTGTCTTCATAAAATCAGCTTGGAACTGTGCGAGAATATTGGGTGATGTTGCTAGTAGAATGAGTTCAATCCCTTCAACATAACTATCAAGAGAAGCCTTCTAAAATAACTGCTTCTATGATTAAGACTTATCTCAGGAAAATGGTTATTTCTCTTTTATACACCAGTAACTAAAATCTTGGATTACTAGACCCTTTCCCATGAGTAATTCCTTAAGATATTGATTTATAAATTAGTCTGTATTTTTAGAGATGTATTGGTGACAGAATGGAAAATAGAGTAAGAAGGATAAGTTCAAATTCTGCCTGAAACTGTTATATCTGCTTCATGCTAATGCCTTTAGGAAAGGCATGAATCCATCTCTTCTTGCAAATATGGGTAAGAGTGTAGGGTAAACTAGATTCTCTATCCTTGATAGGTCAACTAGTATAGGACAAGTTTACATTCAGATCCATAGAGAAAGTAACAGGAATCCACTTTTCCAGGAAAGTTATAACAATTCACAGTATGCAGATATTAAATCTACAGACATCTGGAAAATGGTGAGTTCATTCTATTGCTCCAAAAAGTACTTGACTCCTTTTGCCTTGCTTTATCTTTTTCGAGAGCCAGATTAGACAAAACATGGTGTATTGCTGCCATATTCGGGTTGGAGTTGCTTGATCCTTATTTTGCAATCTTGATAGAATTTCAAATTGGTCACATTTTTGTACAACCTCTTACCCACAGATTCAGTATTGCAAGCTGATTGCTATTTTATTGTTATTTCAAGGACACTTGTTCAGTTCCATTCTTTAGTTACACCAGTTCAGACCTTTACTTCTAGAACGTACCATGCTATTTCTACAGAATTGAATTATTGTCATTTTCTCCATAAACATAAGGAAATTATGTTCAAAAGATTTAGATTTTGGTATTAAAGGTGATAAAAATCAACCAACCTAATATAAGGGGAAGGTTCCACTCAGATTTTTTTCTAGAAATTGTTACTTTGTGCCTTGTTGATGCTTCCCTGAACCCCCCACCCCTATTTTAATCTCTTCAAGTCTACAGTCAATCATTATCCATCCTCCCTTATTCTCATAATCCTCTTTCATTCATATTACACACCTGATTCATCATAACCATTTTAATAGTAGCCCTCTACATTAAGTGGCTCTTGAGCTTTGTATTGAGTGAAAATTAGTAAAAAAAAAAAAATTAATAAAGGTTGTGGAGAAGCAATGATTGCCTATGTCCTAAAGTGATATGGCATAAAACTAGGTACCTCCAAAATAATTTTTACACAAAATTTTATCATCAAAATCTCTTGCATTATTATTAAAAAGAAAGATCAAAGGATTTTTTTATGCAAATTTTTTTTTAATCCTTTTTAGAACATTGGAAATTTTGCTTAAAAATCTTTTTTTTTTCTTTTTTTCTGGTCATCAATTAAATTTATACAAGAAATTTGGGCATTTTTTAAAAAATGTTTCTTAGAAAATCTTTGTAAAAAAATTTTTTACATCTTTTCCCAACACATCTCACTTAATTTTATGAAATTTCAAGAAATTCTTTTTTTGTATATTTGTTATAAGTGCAAGTGCTTGGAGAATTTAAATAATCAAATAATTTATAAACTTTTAAATCATTTAAAATTTTGTATTAATTTCTAGTGGTCAAATGAAAAATGAATTATTAAATTAAAATTGTATTTAATAATTATAAATGGAAAAGCTCACTACAATCCAATGATTCCCACCATTTAAAAAATTTTGAATTTTTTTTTTGTCTGTATAAATGTGTCGTTTTTGTAAATATGGGTATTATATTATACATGACATTATCAGAAAATAAGAGAAGTACCTATAATAAATTAAAAATTTATTGGTAATTATCTAACATTTTTTCAACAATTGTCTTTGTAACTAAGGCTATAGTACCAAAGTACTTAAAATTTAATAAAAAATTAGATTGTTTAAAATATTTTCTTAAATTTTTAAGATTACTGCGTAATATAAAAATGGTCTTCACGTTGTATTCCTCAAGTAATTTTAGGTATCAAAAACTAGGTATTTAAATTTAGGTATCACATTTTCAAAAAGCAAAAAAAAAAACACCATCATTGAAAAGAGATTGGAATCTCTATTTAAAAATAACATGTCTTTTGTTTCTTTTTCTTTTCTTTTTTTCTTTTTCTTTTTTCTTGGAAAATACAATACCCAAGTTTAAAATCCACTTAAAAAAAAAATAAAAAATCTTTCTTAGTAAAAGTTTTATACAAGCATATCTCTCCCCCCCACCCACACACAAAAAAAAAAAAAAACAAGACTAAAGTAATAGAAAAATAACAGAGAGGGTTAGGGGGTGTTAAAGGAGAGAACTCTGAAATAATAGAAACACTATCACTTTGGCTACCCAATTTGCACTTGACAACACTTACTGGCTTTCTGGGATTCTTTAGATTCCAGAATATATATGGCCACCCATCCAAATTCAGTGTCCTTTTTTTGTCTCCCCAACCCATTCTGTTATGCAAATGGAATGAGGGGGAGGGGCTCTGCCTCCTCTAATCTTTTTTTTCTTTTGCTTCCTTCTCCTTTCAGTCTGGGTGAAGTGGGTAGTCATCACCAGTTTGTTGGACAGGGTGAAGTGTCTACCCCTCCTCAAGCAGCTGGTATATTAAAAGCAGTTCCTGACCCCATCATCTAGCGATTATTATTAGGTCATGTGAAAGATGTGGGTACATTCCACCCTTGAGTTTACCAGACATAAGGACTTGTGGTAAATTTGCACCTTAAGCCCCCAATGTTTCAATATAGATCATTTCTCCAGGCTTCCCTTCATTAAGTGTGGGCAATCCAATGGATGCATTTGGGTGTGAGACATTCACACTGTGTACCCTTTCCATTTACTATTATTAGAAGTACTTACTGCTAGGAGTTTGTCTATCAGTGAATATATCTTCTCTTTAGTAGCTGAATATATTTCAATGAAGTGTTTACAATCAACTATAGTTTTTCTTGCCATGAGAGGCCCATCTCACATAATCTCTCTTTTACTCTCCTTCCTAACTCCTTGCATTTCTCTTTATGATCACTCTCTCTGTCTCTATAATCTTTATTCTCTCCCTTTCATTTGGTCTCTCCCTGTCACCCGCTCTTTCTGTCTCTCTATCTCATTCACTCTTTCTGTCTCTCTGTCTCATGCGCTCTCTCTGTCTCATGCGCTCTCTCTGTCTCATGCGCTCTCTCTGTCTCATGCGCTCACCCTCTCTTTTTCTCTCTCTCATCCGTTCTTGCTCTCTCTCTCTCTCATCCGTTCTTGCTCTCTCTCTCTCTCATCCGTTCTTGCTCTCTCTCTCTCTCATCCGTTCTTGCTCTCTCTCTCTCTCATCCGTTCTTGCTCTCTCTCTCTCTCATCCGTTCTTGCTCTCTCTCTCTCTCTCTCATCCGTTCTTGCTCTCTCTCTCTCTCATCCGTTTCTCTCTCTCTCTCTCAACCGTTCTTGCTCTCTCTCTCTCTCTCTCATCCGTTCTTGCTCTCTCTCTCTCTCTCATCCGTTTGCTCTCTCTCTCTCTCTCTCATCCGTTCTTGCTCTCTCTCTCTCTCTCATCCGTTCTCTCTCTCTCATCCGTTCTTTTTCTCTCTCTCTCATCCGTTCTTGCTCTCTCTCTCTCTCATCCGTTCTTGCTCTCTCTCTCTCTCTCTCATCCGTTCTTGCTCTCTCTCTCTCATCCGTTCTTGCTCTCTCTCTCTCTCATCCGTTCTTATCCTCTCTCTCTCTCTCATCCGTTCTTGCTCTCTCTCTCTCATCCGTTCTTGCTCTCTCTCCCGATGTCTTTCTCTGTCTCATCTCCATAATTTCTGCCATTTTTGTGTCTGTATCTGTCATCTCTATGTTTCTGTCATTTTATTTGTGTTTATAAATATTTTACATTATTTTCTTATTTCTTCTGTTTCATTACCAGAATGGATATACAAGTGCCAAACATTTATTTTTCCACAGTCCTAAATCTGTAGACCTGGGTGCCATCATTTCTTATTCACATATTTTTGCGACTGAGACAGAAAATCTGACACAAGTAGTGACAGCCCAGATGCCAATTCAGTTGTATAAAGTAACCGTTTGAATAGATTTTACCCCAAGAAAAATTTTTCAAATGTACTGAACACAAGCAAGAAAAATGTTTCACCTTTAATGAACTGGGATTTGATATGATAAAGTCATGCTTTACAGAAAGCAAATTCAAGATGGCGACTTTAGAAGTATGCCTATTTATTTACTGTAATTTCATGTTGTCAAGTCATGGTTAGCGACTTCCTGTTGTTGGGATTGCGATTTCACTTCTCACAAAGTAACCCAGTATTGTGAGCCAGTGCTAAACTTTTAAACAGTCTTGTTTTGTTTTTTTTCCCACTCTGCAACTTCTTTCCCACAGACACAATCCTATTACTACTCTATCGCTATTTCCATGGCAAATGTTTGGATGAGCACATCATTCTTTATTTCCACAAATTCAAACCTTTACAGCTAGAACGCGCCATGCTACTACCATGGAGTTGAATCACTCTCATTGCCTCCATAATCCATAATGCAAGGAGAAAGTTCCACTCAGACATATTTTTTTCTAAGAGCTACTACTTTGTGGAACAGACTCCTACGTGAATGCTTCCATGAACACTATAATCTTAATCTTGTCAAGAGTCAGTCGTTGTCTATCCTCCTTATCCTCATAATATTCACTTCCCACCACCACCTCTTTCATTCATATCACACCTCTTATTCATCCTGGCCATTTTAACTGCAATCCTCTATGGTGATTGGCTCTTGAGCCTTGTCTTGGGTGAACTTTAGTATAAAAAAAACTATCTGAACATAAATATTTAATGGTGTTTGCTTTGAGCAATGGATTACAAGTTTATCTCTTTAGTGCAATGATTTCAATCATTACAAGATTCATGACCCTTGTGACCTTGTGCCAGACTGAGTAATAGAACATTTTAATGATTTATTAACATTTTTTTACTCATTAAGATTTAATATTATTTTGGTTATAGCAAGATATTTAGCTTAAAATTAGGCCATGACAGGAGCTCCTATTATTATTATTATTATTATTTATTACTGTCATACAAATCACGTGCTTTCCTTCTCTTTATTTAATAAGAGCTGGTGGTCCTTAAGTATTTCAGCCACTCTTGAGCTCCCTGCATCATGCCCTCAAGTTGTACACTCAAATATTTACAAAGGATAATCATCCAAGTCTTCGCAGTAAACATTGACTTCGTCATCGTTTTAATTCTGCAACTCGGATGATACCAAAAATTTACTGCTTCAGGCAAAGAATTCCATCAAGAGAGCAAAAAAAAAAAAAAAAGAAAAGAAAGACACTTCCATTTTACAACATTCTAAAATATGATAAGACCAGAAATTGACAATTGTCCTTATTTTCTTCTTATCTACCTCACCTTAACTTCACACCCCCACCTACCTACCCCTTGCTTGATGAATCGTTCATCCTTCTTGGCAATTCATAAAACATGCCGTTCTACTCCTTGTATGGATTCGGAAAGTTCTTGCTATTGGATTCCAAGCTTCTGTCTTTGAGGCAGGCAATTGCAGAGTTCTGATTTGACACGATGGTGACAAATGCAGGACGGAAGACTCTGTTCTCTCGGAAAACAAATGCTGAAGAGCTTCTTATTCTGAGATTAGCTGTTAGCGTCGAGGAAAGGAGATCTCATTTCGTTTCTTTTTAATTTTTCAAAATATCTGTTCATTTCTTTTTCTCTTCCTTTTCATTCCAGTTTCTTTTCATTCCAGTTTCTTTTCATCTGTTTTTTCACTTTCTTTTTTATTTCATTTTTCTTTTTGAATTTTCTTATTCATTTTTCTTTTGTCTTTGTTTTTTTTTTTTTCAATAATTTTTATTTTCATTTTTCTTCATTTCTCTTCAATTTTTATTACTTTTTCATTTCTTCATTTTTTCATGAATTTTCATTTTTTCTTTTTTTTATTTTTCATTTCTTTTACCTTTTTTCTTCAATTTTCCTCCATTTTCTTTCTTCATTTTTTTCCTCTTTTTTTTTTTTCTTTTTTTAACTGATGGCAAAATATTTGTCCTGCATCTCGTTTTGGAATTTCCCACTTGTATTCGTTCTCCAGGCCATCTTTTTCTTTTCTTTAACTCCTCCAAACCCCTTTAATAATCGACTTTATACTTCTGTGTATTTCTCAAGTTTCCCTTTTTTTCTTTTTTTTGACATTGACTATTTTTTATACGATGTAGAAATTATTTTTAAACTCCTTTTTTTTAATATTTTTCTACTCAAATGATATTTCTGAATGAAATAGTTTGAGTCTATTATTATCTCGAATTGCCTGATAGGAATTGTATTTCTCAGTCATTGGCTAATCAGATTGGATGGTGGTTACTGTTGTTCAAGTAGTTAAGTTCACTCTTTTTGACGAAAGGTAAAAATTAATCAGACGCTTGAGACAAAATTTTGTCCTTTCACTTCAAGCTTTGACTTTTACCTTCAACAATTATATTCAACATCTACTCTATAGCATTTGACTGTTGAATGCTTGAAAACGAGTAACATTTTTTAATCATTTCTTCCCAAGCAAGGTGATAAAGCCACTAAGACATAATGGGTTAATGAGAGTGAAAAAAAAAACAGATGACAATAAAAGAACAGGTTTCAAGCAGAGAAATGACAGTTAACACTGCATTTTAATTTTTGAAGATCGTAGTTGACATTAAAGCAAGAAACTGAAAGAGCATTCCACAGGTGAGAAGTGGGTGAGTAGGAACTATTAGCATAGAAATTATTGTGACACTTAACAATTTTAATACTAAAATGAGACCTAGTTGCCAATCTAGTACTGCACTTAAACTCGTGAAGTCGATGTACCATTGAGGAAGGCTCATCAGAACAATTGCTGTGAAAATATTTAGAGAAAAGGCAGAGGGAAGCTACATTACAATGGTAGGAAAGTGACTTAATCTGATATGTCAGGTTGTAAACTATTAAAATTTTTTTTTTTTTTGTTTTTTTTACATTGTGTTCAGAAAATAAAAGTACCAAATGAATCTTGTTTTAATTTGCCACCGATCCAGGTTGAACAGCCCAGTAAAAAATACTAAGTTAGGTAGAGTGCACAGATAGTTCGCTGATCCTGGGCAGAGCGCACGAATAGTTCGCTGATCACGGGCAGAGCGCACAGATAGTTCGCTGATCCCGGGCATTAAAAATAAGTTATATTTTTTTTAATGAAAGTAATATTTGAATTTATTTAATGCATTTTAAATAAGTCATTAAATAATATTTTAATAAACTAGTTTATTAAAATATTATTTATTTCTTTACTATTAATTTAAATATCACTAAGTTACATTAATTTTTCCTATGACTTTTTCCATACCCACAAGCTTTATTGGTCTACCCAGACAAAGTGTACCGCATGACTTCATTCTTATAACCAACTTTGCAGTCAGTTCCTTCCACCTCTCACTGTTTTGAGACTCTTTCAAGGAGTACCACACAATCTTGTGGCCAAAAAACTGGATTAGACAATAAAAACCAAATCCCAGTATTTTCATCTCTTCATTTTCTTAAGCAGTCTTTATGCATTGTGTAAACTTTCTTTTATATGACTGTCCAATCTCCTGACTTCCAGTGCCTCATCAAATTATGGCATTAGGAAATACCATAGGTCACAAAAGTCAGATTATGCTGTAGTAATAACTTTTGATCAATTCATACATCTTCTATAAATAGCATGGATTGATAGAGGAACATAAACAAAACTGGAATAAAAGGTTTGGCTCCAATTTTGGTCGGATTAAAAGAAGATCGGTTTACAGGACTTGTCAGTCTTGGTAAAAGTATTTTATTTTTATTAGCGAGTTAGGAAAGCAACTGCAGTTATTGTAGTTTCTTTATCTTCCCTGACAAATCTATCGAGTCATGACAGCATGGGTGGTCTACAATAACGGATAAGGCAGGCATAGAGAAAAAAAAAAATTTTTAAGTGATTTCTTTTTTGTTGTGTGGCACCCCGACTGCCCGCAGAGTCAAGGGTGAATGAATACAACAAAACAGGAAGGTGAGTTTTTACAAAGTTAGTAGTTACCAACAAAAAAAATTCCTCTTAAAAAATAAAACAACTTCTTTCAAGAACTAAAAATGAATTCCAACTATTCTACAATTTAAAAAATTGATTCTTCCCTTTTTTGTGATATTTTTTTCTATTTTTTCATTTTATATTTTCAGATCCAAACTTTTTATCTCATTTTATTATGAATTTTACGTTTTTTATCAAATTTTCAACCCCCAAAATGCCATATTCTTTTTCTTTTTTTTTTTCACGATCTTACTTTTTTTTTCTGTATTTAATTTGCATTTTAATCTAGATGCCTATCATGACATGGAGAATGGTTAACAAACTCATTTTGAAAACTGTTCATTAGTGTTTGATCCTCATTCCTCTTAGGAGTGAGGATCGAACATGCAATGTTGTGTCGGGCAAAAGGCTAAGTATGACAGAATGACTTGCTGGAATGTAAACCGAAACGTATACAATAAAATCGATCTTCATTAGACACTCAAGACTTTTTGATCTTGTACCAGAGTAAAGTACATACACTTAGTAATTATGCCTCTTTCCTACCCCCCCCCCACTCCTATGTCATTTTTTTAATATTTCTATTTCATTCTCTTTTCCACGTTTATCTTGCTCTCATCTTTGTAACTTACAAACACTGGAAGAGTTCATGAGATTTTCGCATCCCGATACCACTTTCTTATCAATGTTGAATTTTGTACAAATCTGTGCAAAAAGTGGATCAAAGATCTTACCCAGCTTCATACATATTTTCAGGAAATCTCAACTTCTAATTGGTCAATAAACACACAAGTGGGTGTTGCAATCCATCCACATACAAGTCTTTTTCCAACATGTGACCAAGTCAAGTTTTCCCGCTTCTTTTCCAGGAGCCTGTCACATGATTAGTGTGTATCAGACACAAACTTGTTCTTTCTCTTTTCTTTCTTGATTTCTTTCACCTACAGAAATGTAACCTTAAGGAAACTGCGTTGCGACCCCCTTGCAGTCGAACACTGAAAACATATGCACACATGCGCATACATACAAAATGTTCCAAACTGCATTACAAACATATGAAACATTTCCAAACCAGTAACAAGAACTTTTCTCTTTAAAATAGTCTGATCAAGCTTTCGCACACATCTTTACAAAACAAAATTGTAATATTCTGCATATAAAAAATATATTTGTTGTTTCAAACATATTCTTTTTGTCGTAATTGAATATTGTTATCATTTGATATTTTATTTAAATTTATGTTTGTGGATGGTGCATATTTCATTTACAGTGAAACATTAAAATATTCATGCAGCCTTCTCAGATCCACTACAAGATAATGACATGGCATCGCGTACAACTAAGAAACAAAAACAGAATTATAATGTGATATCTGATTTATTTTTATTTTTTTACATGGATTAGTTTTAATAGTTGTTAGGTAGTTGTTAGAAATAAATAAATTCCATTTCACACGCTATTTTTTGTTTTATTTCTGATGCAAAATAATTTAATCAAAAGGTCTAACAACTAACATTATTTTATTTATTTTCCTTTGATAGATTTAGTTTTAGTCTTATTAGTCACAAATATGGAATTGTATTTCACCTTAATCTCGGTGAGGAGGAATGTGTGTTCGAAATATGAGTCTGAAGTTAAGATTGGTCACAGAAGTTGAATTATATTTCATTTTTTGTTTATGGCAACAAAAAGAACATGTCAGTATAGGTCAGGAAATCTAAGGGAGATAAGTATTTGGTATGCGAAAAACGTTTGCAATCCAAACAAGAGGATAAATGCGAGGGGATTGTCCAACATTCACTGTCATAGAGGAGATTCAATATTACATAACAGTTCAAAAATCTTATCTTTTCTTTAGAAGGTCATTTTTCACTAATCCGTTTGGAAAGGACAATAATCCTTTTCTGTGCTCTATCATCTCTCAACATCTTGGTAAAAGTATATGACATTCAAGATGGTTGACTGGAAAGAATGCAGTTAGGAATCATCTTTGCTTCTAATTAAACTGCTACTACTTTTATGTCACTTGGGGAGGATGTGGGCACTGCCCATATAATCCCATAAGCAGTACCTTGACAATGCAGTATTTCGATTATCTGGACACTTTTGGACAGGAGTTGAAAAAAGTTCGGATAATTCAAAATTTCCGACAACTGAAAAAAAAAATCTCTTTTTTTCTGAAATAAATTTTTTAACATATCATCAAATATTTTCAACACTTTGTTCAGTTTATTTTTGATGAAAAAATGCGTCAATTTTTGTCTGTTTCCTACTGGCTTCGCGTTTTTCTGCCGCTAACTCCTGTAAAAATGGATTTAAAAAAAACGATCTGTGGCTTCTGAGAGTTGTTGCGGAAGAAGCCATAATTTAAGATTTTTTAACTCTTCATATCACATTCGAACAATCGAAGTACAGATAATTGGAAGTAAACTAATTTTTTTTTTTTTTTTGAATGCGAAAGCAAGCAATTATGTGGCATACAAACTCTACCGTTCTATAATCGATACTCACTCGTTTTGGGCCTTGTGTCCGACGAAACATCGTACTTTGATAATCAACATTTCAAATTTACTTATGATTTGTATTCATTGTAGCAGTACATTTTACAGTGTAACCCGGATATAAGAGAGTTGTTGGGACCGGAGAAGAAGTCTTTTATATCCAGGTTTCTCTTATATCTGGGTTTGGTCTATTTTATATACATTAACACAGGCTCTAATTTGGGACCAGAGAAAATCTCTCTTATATCCGGGTTTCTCTTATATCCGGGTCACACTGTATTTAGCAATAGGTATTTTAGGAGCTTTGCTTTATGGCATAAAGTCCTGACTGTAGGAGTATATTCAATAAGGATTTAAAATTTACTAAAGCGATATAAAAGTTGCAAACCCCTGTTCCACGGTGATATCCAACCTTTGTCTTTTTGGCGTGATAAACCCTGGCAATTTTTTTTTTTTTTTTTTTTTTTTTCA